TATATATATATATATATATATATATATATTTGTAGTGGTATTGTCGCTGCAGTAATTTTGTCGTTCCGATAGTTCGTGTCGCACGCTAAAAGAGAGAGAGAAAGACACGGCAAACTTCCGTGTATCTCCAACGGCGACGTCGGTTACTTTGCTCACGGTAGACGGCTCCGCCGCAGTTGCAGCGCGCGTAAACCGCCGCGAAGTTTCCCAATAACCGATCTACTTCGCGCAGGTGGATTCTTTCCTTTCTCACGTCGGCTATGGGAGTGGCTAAAATGTTCGGCATGGATAAAAATAAGTCGATCGCGAAGAGTTTCTCTCGGCGATGGACACGCGTATTGTTATTAACATTACATTGACAGAACGTAACTCGGACTCGGATCGAAAAGCTGCGAATCTTGTCCGACTCTAAATGGCACTCTTGTGTGTAATTCAGAAATACTTCGAGCAATAAGTCAAATATATATCAGTTTTGATAATTATAACTGTCGTTTCGATACGTCTGCGAGTTGAAATTAACTAATCACACAAAATTAACTAACAATAAGCAGTCTCTCCTTGTACTAGACGGCGTCTCGGAAATTAATGCCACGATAATAATAATGTTGATGATGAAATCATAAGCCGTTAAAAACAGAAAGGAGAGGGGAGAGGAGATGCGTCCGTTCAAGCGTTCACGCTGCGACCGGCGCGGGCTTTTCATGAATACGAGCGATATTACGCGAAAGATGAGTTATATATATGTGTGCAGTTGGATCAAAATAACGCTTTAACGTATTCAAGATGGATTAACTCATTTTCACGTAAATGTTAAGACACTCCACGTATAAATTTCGCGTTACAATCACGAGAGTGGTATATCGACACCGTTCATTCAAAATTCATTTATAATATTACACGAGAAAATATTTGACGGTTTTTTTCGTTTCATCGCGCATGACGTACTCCGACGACGATAGGTCGTTGATTGGCAAACAGTGCTCCGAGTTCGTTTCCTGCGGCGTATTGTTGTGTATACGCAATCACCTTGTCACGGCACAAGACTCGAGCCGGCAGGCAGTGGTACGAGCCGCTTCACGCATCGTAGTGTTATTATCATTCGAGACGCGGTGACAAGTAGGCTTAAACACATCAAGTGCGTCTTTTAAGAGCATGAGTAACGATCGACGTTTCAGCTCTCGCAGTCAACGAAGCTATTTACCGAAGTTTGTATTTCGTGAGACTCTCATTCGCTTGAAGTGGAGATCGATGTGACAGAGGATAGAAGTTGTAAATTATAATTTATGAGAATTATAAGTTATTTTTGATATACCAACTGATAATTATTTCTCCACTGACGCTCGGATTCGAATAAATATCGTATCGCGCGCTGGCTCTTTTTCATTTGTTTAAACTTTAAAAGTAACTTGCCCGTTAAATTGCGAGCACAAAGGTAATTTAAACATAATGGCAGAAGTAATTATGTAACACATAATAAACAGAGAAGAGAATTTCTTGTAATTGCTAATAAAACAAAAGGGAGCAAATTAAAAACGGCGTTGTAGTGGACGAGATCGCGTATCGAGTGTCACACGTAATTGCAAAAGTTGCAAGGTCTCCAATGGCCGGCGAATCAAATTATCTGGCACCGCGGTATAATGTTACAATTAGTCAATTTCCATTGAGAAATAATTGAGCGGTAATGATGGAAAATGCAGTTTGCGCGATTAGTAACGTCGGGTTTCGCAGAACGCGCCCGGCATTGATCCGCCGGACTATCGCCGCGATGTTTAAAACACGAAGAGTGCAATATCGTGGATTAATGCAAATACTGCATGAATTATTGCTGGCGTTGGTGCCCTCGTCTGACGCAACATTGACGCATAACGTATAACGTTGATTTATGCGCTGGCGCGCGATCACGGGAATTTTGACGGAATTTTTCGAAAGAGATATCTGAGAGAAATATATTATCCTTATTCGAGCTTGGAATTTATTCCATCCCATCCTCAACTATCACGATTAAATCATAAATATTAACAAAGTTTCGCGGAGGGAATTTTATACAAAAGAAAAAGAAAAATATTCCTTTTTCTAGAAAAGACAAAATTAAAATGCCGATAGTCCGAGAATTCGTGTTATCAGAATGTTTGTCAAACTTTGAAGTTAACATATCTTCCACAATGTTTTGGGCTGCGTTATTTTGGCTTCTTTAAACCCTATAATTTAAAATATGACCAATTAAGCTAATTATTTATATCTCGTTAATTGCTTAGGGAAGAGCGAGAAAAGGAATAATATTTAAATAGTAACAAACTCTACCGCTTAATTCCGTGGCAAAGATGACCGATCGCCTCATCGTGCGCGGACATTCGGGTTTTGATCATCGTTGCGTGGTCCTGTGCAATACCGCGTAGGTATACCTTTCCCGTGCTAAGCGAACAGGCTAAATAACGAATGAGGATGCAGAGTTGCCGGAATTACGTGCGCGTAGTAAATACCGCAAGTCCCCTAGCGGGAAATCGTTCGAGAGAGTCGTCCCAAATGTCGGTTTATACGCTCGTAATTCCTGAAGTCGTGTACACCACTTTCGACGAAAGCGGCAAACGATGGATTTCGCGAGCGACGAAACGAGTGGCGCAATTTATTTATCCTCGTTTACCGGAAAAAAATTCGCGACGCGTGTACAAATCCGGTGGGCGAACCGATGACGGGCATTACAAGCTCTCGATATGCCTAGCGTGTGTCAACAAAATATAAAATATAAAAACGTATGAATAAAACGCAACAAATAAAATCAGATATGATTCTATCGCTTTTGGAAGACATTCCGTAATCAGCGGATATTTTTTTCCTGTTGCGCAACAAATAATATCTCTCCTCGATTCGACGAAATATAAATTGAAGAGTCGCGGCAATTAAACCTTCTCTCATCGAAACGATCGTTTGAGCACCGTTGACAAAAATAAATCGTCGGTACTGATAGTTTATTAATAACTACCGGAGGCGAGTTGCAAAAATGGCACTGACATTCTAGAAAGAAGTCAACTAGAAGACGGTAATTGTTTTTATTCTAACTGCAACTCAAAGATGCATACAGCTACAGAGCGCAGCAAAAAAATCCCCATCGTGTCTTTCTGTAAAGCGGCAGCAGCGCGAGTTCACGTTTCTCGCTCTTTTCTATCGCTCGGGCTACATTATTTACTATACCGTTACGTATACGTATTTAGACCCCGGCCGGCGTTGCGAGTTATGATCGACGGTAATGGTTGCGCGACGTCAAGCATCTTTTCACGACAATTCGCCGATTTTTAAAAAAGAAAAAGTGATAAAAATCAAATATAGGAAATTTGTTGCGCGAGATATGAAATAAAAAACGATGTTCCAAACAATAATTTATCTGGGTCAATTACTTTGATTGCAAAAGAAAAACAATTCCGATGTAATACCGAAATAAATCACTCCCCGGGATTATTTTTTATTTAGGTTAATTGTCCCGGATAAAACAACAAATAATATATTTCCGCCTCTAGTCCGTGAAAATAGATTACCGCGTCGCAACGTGCAATTTAATGTCAGGGTAATTGAAATAAACGTTTGCCTAAAAAAAAAAAACTACAGGGATTATTTTAGCACATGGATCAGATAAAAATCTTACTCATAAGTTGACTGTGAAGTTACACTGTAAATCAATTCTTTCCGAATATTAGAACATTGTCTGTGTAGTCTAATTTGAAAATGTGTTCTCTCTCATCATTATTTAGTTAGAGATATACAGATTTTCTACATCTCTCCGAAATGATTACTGTTTGCAGAAGTGCCTGACGACTCTGGACCTGACGTCTTTAGGAGTTGGCTCCTGCGTCGGGACAGGGATGTACCTTGTCGCAGGAATGGTGGCGCGCAGCGTTGCCGGACCTGGTGTCGTCTTCTCATTCATTATCGCAGCCATTGCTTCCATTTTTTCCGGTGGGTATCACGCCTTTCTGAATCCATGCAAAAAGATAAGAAAAGGAGCGGTTCTTTGTCGCCGCGGACGGTCATTAGGCGAGATAGCGCGACGACAAAGCGAGAGCGGATCGATTATGATGTCGCAGAACCGCTGTACCTAGATGCTCGAAGAATGCATTCGCATCTACATGGAATGAGTTACTTACACCTAATACGAGTGTTGTAGAGGGACTTATCGAATGAGATCGGTCGCGTTGCCTAAATACACGCGATTCCGGCGCGGCGTCGCGAATTTAATCGTTCGACGTTATCTGGGATCGGGTCGGCGACTCTATCAAAGTCGCTTCTTGCGATCGTCGTCGGGAGCCACGCCTTCCACACGCGATCCCATGTTATTAAGTGCGATGGTTGCACACTTACGCGGAGCGCCGACTTTGCACAGTCCACATATGAACGGAATGGGAATACGAAAGTAGAGATTTATTTCTGGCGCGATTCACAATCCCGAAGAAACAGTGCGGACGAGAATGGGAGAGGGAAACGAGGGTGGAAGTGACCTTTAACCGTCGGCGAGAAAGAGTTTCCGACTATTTTTACGAACGATCAATTTAATGATGGACAGGTATACGTGTGTGCCGACCGTATCATGTGGGTGTGATGTCAATGCTTTGACGGGGGCGACCGCGGAATGGATAATATCCCTAACTGGACACGATGATGTATGACAGTCGCGATTAAATAAATGTTTAATCGTAAGACTACTATCCGAGTACACTTACGTCCGAATCTATGTAATCCATTTATATTTTTCGTCTTTTTCACTTAGCTTCAAAGTAGAATTGTAATTAAATAATATATACATGTCGTGTTATAACGATACGTGTGTTGCGTATATCACTTAATTACAATTCTACTTCGAAGCTAAGTGAAAAAGACGAAGATATAAACGGATTAGATAGATACGGACGTATGTACTAGGACAGTAGTCTTTCGATTAAACATTTACTTAATTGCGACTGTCATACACATTATCGTGTCTAGTTAGGGATATTATCCGTTCCGCGGCTGCCCCCGTCGAAGCTAATTAAACCTTTACGTACTCTTGAGCAGTCAAATTTATACACGTCCGAATACGGTTAAGGGCTGGTTGTTCCTGTTGGTAAACTACCTAATAGTTAAATCATATATGTACGTCTTTGTTTATCCTTTACATTGGACAAAGATAGACATATGATTTAACTATCAGGTAGCTTACCAATAGGTTGGAACAACCGGCACCCTAAAAGGCATATAAATAAAATGTTTGCAAGCGCTAATTAACTATCGCCACGTGCAGCTTGTGGAATCAAACGACGAGATAACTACTCGCGAAGTGAACTCCCTTTATAAAAATGCACAACACATTTCTCGCACGATCGTGCAATGGCGATGATTCTCAGACTTCTTCGCCGGCAGTTTCCGGCAATTTCGACAGAGCGATAAGTCAGGTATCTCTCTCGCGCAAGCAGAGCACAGTAGACTCGAGGGACTTTACAGTCTGCGGTATGGCCACAGATAAGAAGCTTATTCCGCAAAAATATGGATTTTGGTGAGGGGATATATGAGCCGGAAAATTCGTCTTCCGCGACCACTATACATATATCACGTACGAATCCCGTAGACTCCAGGACGCCGTGCGCGGATTTAAACCGCATAAAAGCGTAATTCCGCAGAATCTCGGGCAAACAACTTCAACGTTCGCGACGTTATCGGACGCGTGACCGGAGCATCGTACGAGGAGCTTTCGCGAGATCCAATCGAACTGAAATAGAAGGAATCGCATATTTCGCAGATATTTAAGGCAAATTTTATCATCGTTTGAAGTAATATATATTTTGACACCGTTATAGTTACACCGTATAATATTCTCATGTGAAAATTATAATTTACATAACGGGATATTTCAGTACATCAATTTTTCCTTTTATTTTCGCGTAGAAAGTCTTTTAGAAATTAGATACCCACGGAACAATTAAAAACCGTGTCCGGAGCTGACGCGAATAGTTGTAAACTATACACAAGAGGTGCTTTACATTTACTTTGCGGGTACTGTTACAGGCATAAGTACTGCGCTGCAACGCGCGTTAGTTTACCGTTACAAGTACTTTACCGTTCGATATCGAGCTCCGACCGTTCCGTCGTATCGATAACAGCGGCCCGACTGTCCCGAATATCGATATCGTGCGACTCTTGCAGAGCGAACGCGGAAAATACCCGTCAAACGAAATTTACGATTCATCGTGCGCGATAGGAGGCTCTAAACGCGGCCGTCGCCGTAAACTGTCTCCCGTGCGTGCTGCAGACGCGATATTCTCGCCGACTGCGAAATTGCGAACAGGGTTTCCAATGGATACGGAGGCGATGAATGGACCGAACGTGTCTCAATCAGTCTTGTTTTGTTCGCGCCTGTTTCGCTGATCCTTTTATCGTCTGTAATTTCGCTGCGGTTTGCGTCCTCGTGAAGCAATTCGTTACTGCTTGCCATGTTATTTGTCGCTTCGTCGAATCGCGCTCGCGTCAAGAGAACGAGAGAGATATCAAGTGAAACTTCTTTTTATCTTGCTGAGAAAAACGATTAGTTCAAATCTATTTTATTATTTGATTGATGTCTCTATCTTAAAAAATGTGAGCTGCTCGATTTCCATGAGTTAAGAGTATGGATATTCAGAAACGTTATAACGGTTTCTAATATAGGTCCCTCTATATCAGAACAGATAATTGAAGAGCTGTCCATTTCACCTGAACAAAAATTTACACACATAGATGATGCTGGACCAATAAACATAGAAGACCTAGAGTTGGAAAAGTAATTATTCGTTTTGCTTATATTATTTAATGTAATGGCATTTAACTAGATGTATATGTACTTTTACATTTTTAGTTACCAAGTCAGAATCGTTGATTCGACTATAATCGAATGTGCATATAAAATGGTATGACTTCTTATAAGCATCATCGTCATAATTTTTTTATAACTGGAAGGATATGAGATGTATTAATATGTTAAATAGAAAGTACATGAGAAAGAAGCGCGTTGCATATCGATCGTGATCTCATTTGATTGCAGCCGCGCTCTCGGTAATTATCGATCTAACGGGGTAAAGCTGTAATTAGTTCGGCTATTCAGAGATCGATGCCGTGCGCCAATTAATGGCAGGCTATGGCACGGTGTGTCGCGGCGTGTTGTTTAATTAATTCGTTGCGTTATTAATAGATGAATGTCGCTGGCGCACTATCAGCGCGGGAGTACGTGGTAATCATCGCTGATATTAGTGATATTACTATTGCAATAGTCGAAAGCGACGTATCGTGACCGCACTAAAGTGAATTAAAGGCGGACTGAGACGCGAGCTCGTTTAGATTTTTCTTGCGTTTTCAAGCTTTATTGTTCATATTTATCTTTCTATGTTTATTTTATTACGTTCTCGTCCAACTACAATAATAAGCATTCGAAGAGATGGGATTTCTCGATATATATACCTGGTCTTTACACATCTCGTTGTTCGATAACCGCGAAAGTAGAGCCGAGGCTTTCGCTTCCGCGAAGTTCTGCGTCGTCTTTTCTTTTCTCATTGTTAGAGAGACTTGGTGGCATATTTTATAGTACATACCACCCTACGTATAAACGTCGAGTTTAGCATCAATGGAAACTAGATTCTTCAACCTTGCCGCTTACTGATTTCGCGCGACTTCGTCGACCGTAACAGATGTGACAGCGAGAGCGGTGCTTGACGTCAAGGATAAACGTTATCGTCCCACAAAGATGCGAAATTGGAGGACGTGGAGCAGTAGGGCGTAATTCGCAGAATGTATCCCGCTTTGCGTAACAGTACGTTAATATCGTGGAACTGGAGAGGCAACATCCGTCTCTGACCAAGAGAGAATTGTGGAAAGATGTAAGCAGATTATTACGGCGTTTATGCCGGTTGAGCACGAGATCTGCTGTGCCATACCGCGATGTAATCCGCGTTGAAAGGTTGAACCGAAGTTTAATCAGTCGATTACCGAAGCATGATAATCGTCGGTGGCGAAGACAATGTTCCGTCACGCCACAACGTGGAAACGCGTAATCCGCTTTAGATAGCGATAAAAAAAAAACGAACACATCAAGATCGTGTACTCAACTGTGAAAATTCGTGAAATTTTTAATCTTGATGTGCCGCGTTTTTGAACCGCTATTTTCTTTTTTGTGAGAGTATAAACCCGACGAACATTCGCCGTTACACTTTGGTTGCGTTTTGATATTCACTGCCAGTGCTGAAAATCTGTAGTTTATGTCGCGTATACTATAGATTTTCAGTACTGGCAGTGAATATCGAAACGCAGCCTTTCTATTCTGTCGCCAAACGTGATCGTTTGTGCTTTTGTGTCTTGTTCATTCGATATCACGTTTAACGTTCGCGTGAGTTTAGTGACGCAGACATGCCATTTCTCTCTGAATAATTTTCTCTGTCCCTCCCGCGTCGACGATATTCGCCCCTCGTGACTGAATGCCTTTTCTTCTTCGGTGTGATTACAGGGGCGTGTTACGCCGAGTTTGGAGTACGAGTGCCTCATACGACCGGCAGCGCTTATATGTACAGTTACGTGACAGTAGGCGAATTAATAGCATTCATTATTGGATGGAACATGGTGCTGGAGTACCTTATAGGTACGAGTGCGTGTGCGTGCGCCCTTAGCGCCTGCCTGGACGCGTTGGCGAACGGTGCTATTTCCGAGGCGATAGCCAACAGCGTTGGCACCATACTCGGTGAGTATTCATTTCGCATACCGCCCACGTGTGCAAACTATCGATTACTGCAAGACAAACAAATTTAATTGGTGCAGATTTAACTGGGAGAAAAAAATTCATACATTCGTGATATTATATTACGAATATATATCCATAAAATGTCTCTATTCAGCCATATATTTTCGCTACCTTTGCTTTACTTTAAATTAGACGCATAACATTCGGACATATAATGTTTAAAATGTCCTACGTGTGAGTTCACCTTGGTCTTGGATGTTTCTTCGCGTCAGTGAGTCTTAAAGTTTCCCTTCCAGTCGCTCGTAAAAGCATGAAACGACAAGTCATAGTCGCTGGCGTCGTCGTCGGTGAGCGACGTTGTAGAAATTTACGAGCGGACTCCCGTTTTTCGTCCTGAGAATTTAGCGACGTGAGTCCTTTGTCCCCCAGCTCGATCATGGAACACTCTCTATGCGTTTTTTCGCGATAATACAACGACACGATCGATGACTTGGCGGATGCATCGTGCGCGAACGGTATGTGTTACTCATGTTCGCGGAATTCACAAGCGAAGTCCTCACGTAGTTTGTGATCGATGAAAATAGTTGGAAAAAAGAGGGAAAACAACTATTTATGTCGTAATAGAAATTTAAAAATATTATATGTAACAAAATAGTAATCTTACAGAATCGCAATAAAAATATAAAATAATTAATATTAAAAAATATTATAATAAAATAGTGATCTTTTTGAATAAGGAGATTTATCTTAATCATTTTCGAGTTATTCAAATTTAAATACCCAAAGAAACACCATTGATCCCCAAGTCGGCTAATTTAAAGTTTTATATCCCTTGGCTTCTCTTTACGCATAAGGCGAATGAAGAATGAGGGTTTCACCATTAATCTCGTCGATCTCGCGTCAGACAATTAGCGACGATAGCTCGAGCGAAAGACTGTTTGCTGGACAAACAAAATACGTACACCCCCGCGCGCGTTTCGAATTGTTAATTCGAAAAAAATCTCCACGCTCAACCGAGTCCAATCCAATTTTCTAAAGCGAATTAATTCACTGAACAGGCTTTTCGTCGACGTGCGAAAAAAGGGGAGAACGCGCGATGACAAATCCCTGGACGCCGGTATTTTCCTTGTTGACCGACGTTTATATACAAGCGTTCGGGTCGGGTGCCAGACCTTAATTTTAACGACAGATTTTTTTTTAGCAAACGTGGAGGCAAGTTCTCGTTACGGAAAATTTAGCAGCGAGTCTCTCGCAGATTTTTAATACTAAATTCGTTGTTAATTGAATCGCGGAATTAAAATTTTGGATATTCCAACGAGCAGCAACGTTATTTGAGTATATCTCGCGCAAATTTAACTTGATCAAATAAAGATCGAAGAACCTATTAATAAGATTAAGGTCGAAGGTTCCGAGACAAGGTTCTGAAAACGCGGAGGGCTCGGGCTCGGGGATTCGTCTATTAATTTACGACACGCCGCACGCGTATAACCACCGGCGAAACGGATCGATCGCGCATGCGAGCATAAATTGTAGACTATTTAATGCAGCTAATTCGCATCATATGCCCGTTTTATGAATATTCTCCGCATTCAGCGGCGCTTGATAGCGGACGTTAAGCCAATATTCTCTAATGCGGACGTCGATGTTTAAGGAGGATGTATATCGGGAAAACGCCACGAATTTTAATTAGGACGCTGTTGATCGGAAAAACGCGTTATTGTGCTATGTGGAGACAATAAAATATACGTATAAATGGGTAATTCCTCTATCTGACAAAAAGCACGACCGTTACGTCATATATTTGATAAATACTACACCTCTCGCGAGTTTGACACTTGGCAATTTTTTTTCAGGAACCATTCTGATCAAATATGAATGCAACAAAATTAACATTGCCGTAAGACTAATGTTGCAGAAAACTTTCCTTCGTCCGTTTCCAGAGGCCACCCGAATTCTCGGCGCGCTCCAATTCCTCCGGAATTTCTCGGCGTCTGAATTTTGTTGCGCGCGGCATTGTTAGAGAAGAATCCGACGTTACTCCCCCGCCCGCGGAGAATGATTCAAGAGCGACGTGAGTGATTTCTTGTGTTACGAGACGTTTTCTGCTTGAATCAGCCTCTTTCCGTCAGTCAATTTTACGAATAATACACGAGGGATACCTCCTCCGCGTTTTCATTCCCGCCAGTTTCTTTATTCTCGAAATGTCGCGCACATCTTATCCCATCGATTTTATCACCGTTGTAAATCGATATTTATATTGTCACAAAGTAAGCGCGCTGGTTGTGTGGATTGTAAATTTTATCGCGTGTCGCTTGTATTCGGTTCCACCGCGGCAACTTGTTAACCCGTGCAATTAAAAACACAATATCCCTCGCCGGAGCACAATAATAATTAATATGAATTCGGTGTTATTGAGTCTAATTAATTGCCCGTACGGCAGATCCATTAAAATGCGAATAAAATAAATGTTTCGTCGTTCCTCGTTTCTCGCGATTAATAAATATCAATTAAATGTTAGACATCATCGGTTTTCATTATACTCTCGGCGATCGGTATTACTAGAATACTATATAACGTAGAGCGTAATATTGCCCATGGTTATGACGCTTTCATGCAACACGTTGCGCCCGTGACAATGAATAGTAAACTGAAACTGTCGAGAGCTTCTGTAATGAAAGTAACGTCAAACTGAAAAATTTATTAAATAATATACCGATGCTCGCGGCTATTATATAATTGCCATTATTTAACGTCCGTTGTGCAGCTCTAAAAAAAAAAGAGTTTAATTAAACGGCGGCTGTCGCGATATTGCGCTTTTTTTCCTCTCTCTCTCTCTCTTTCTCGACGTGTTTCCCGTGCAATCAAAGGAGCTCTAACGTAAGAATGAACTTTTACGGTACTTAACGCACGTTATGAGAATGCCGCACGTCCCATAAATTTCGTTCGCGTTTCAGAAACTTATATAAGAATAGGGCGAGAACATTTTCATCGTTTTTTTAATACGCGCGACATGCGAAAAATGTTAACACCGACACCATTCGAAAGTTCCGTCGGTGCTTTTACGTCTAGCGGGAGAATATGGCTCTTTCGGAAGTTGATGTATGCAAGACGCACAAAAGTGCAGTTGAATATATTTGATTAAGTTGCGTATCAGTACACGTGCATGCCTTCCTTCGCGAAATGCGGAGAAAGAAAGTCACTCGTAAACTTGCAAAAATATCTGTTTGGTTTGAGAAATAATATTAGCTATCTTTAGAGAAAATTTTTAAACGCGTTCAAATTGCTTGGAAAAGTCGATAAACTCTATCTATATAAATTGAATCTATATCCTTAGTATCGATTGAAAAATAATATTGTCGCGTAAAAGATATATTAATATGGAAGATACTTTGGAGGATATTAGGGAAAGACGACGATATAACTAGGGTTTCGCTTCAGATAATGTCCCGGAAGCCGAAATTATTAATGGTTCGGTGTGCAAAGGGATTGGGTTCCTTTATCAAACTTCTTTGTTATAGACGTGTCGCGGCAGCGAGGAAAAGTTTCACTCGCGCCAGGGCAGAGAGAGAACGGATGCGCCGCGACGACGGCAAGCGGCCGCAAAATCGGTCGACCTTAATTAACTTTTTCCTCGCGCGTCGTGCAGGAATTTGCAGATGAGTTTGCAACCCGGCCAGCTGTTACGCGCGTGGAAGCCTTTAATCGTTCGCGCGCGAACCGAATCGCGTCGCGCGTCCGCGGAATTCGGTGTCGAGAGTCGGTCGGATTAATTTTGAAAATATTTACGGGACGATGAAAGTTTCGCGAAAATGTTCGATAAAATCGATATCGGCGGAACGACGTAATTCGTGATGGACTCTATTGAAATAACACGACGAATTCGCGCATCGCTCAGAATTGGTCAATTCGGTTGCCCAAATAATCGTAAAAATCCGGGGAAAAAAGAAGTATCATGAGAGAGCGTGGAAGAGCTCTTCCCTAATCCTCTACAAACCTCCTCCAGATATCTTCAAGGTTCTTCCCTGGACTTTTGCATTAACACGATAGGATTTAAATCCCCTGATAAAGAGGGGAAATGCCTGAGAGGTCTTCATAACAAATTTCGGAAACATCGGGTTTAAACATTCCACCAAGTTTATCTTCTAAATCCGCTATAATCCTCGCGATTTCGTCAATCCCGCACAACTCTAATCCGCCGGCACAGTCTGTGCCGCCGGTAACCACCTTACGTGTCGGATGTTTATCAGACACGTGTAATTGCCAATTTACCTCAATTTTTGAAGCTAAAACAGTAACTGAAAAATGTTGGCTACGTGAACGTAGCGTACGCTATATATTTCACGTCGATAGCATATTGAACATGCCAATCTAGTTCGTTGGGTTCTTTTCTGATATCTATTATCACCTCACTCTTTAACGTACGGATAAGATTCGCTGGGCAGAATTGAATTAATGGATCGTTAATTCTATCGACATTTTGCACGTGTGAGGAGAAAATTTCAACCGGCAACTAGCTGTAAATGCATCGGCGAACGATTGTGATATGTTCGAACGGCAAAAATCTTTGTATTCGCTAACGACAGAAAAAAGTACCTGAATGCCCGAGATTCTTACTCGTCAAATTACTCGGTTCTCCTCCCCTACGCTTAGCTCGAACACGACATTCCCGTGACAGCCGTGACGTGGAAGAAACCCGAGGCGGAAATTCTCCAACAAGCGGAAAACCGACGTAATTCATGCGGTCGGAGATAATCGGGCGATCCTCGGGCGAGAAAAAAAAAGAGCAGCGGTTTTTTCGGGGAAGCATGCGAGCTAAAGCTCGCTACTTTCATTCAAGCGTTCGCGCCGCGGTTGGAAAACCTCTGCAAAAAAATCGGTGAAAGGAAACTGCAGCTAAAAATTCATTCTGCGAAACAAATAAATTCTCGGTATATATTCGGGATGTAGAATAAATTTCCGCGCTAACTTGTATCGGTAGCTATCTACCTTTGGCGGAGGAAAAGCGGTCACGTTGCGCGTTGACCGTGTTATCGTGTTTCCGGTTACCATATATAGGAGAAACTTAAAT